AAAATCAAAAATTCAAACGTCACAACAGTGTTAGAATAAATACCCCCCCCCCAAAAAAAGTTGTTCACTGCAGAGTTTTGGGGGTGCACTTCTCAGATTTTCCCAGTGCACATTTACAGTATATTGGAGGCTTGTTTTTTCATTGGTTTTTCCATGCAGACTGAAGTGCAGCTCATCTCTGGATGCCGTTTAATCTCAAAATTCTTTTTCTGTGTCATTATATAGAGAATTCCTTCATTCTAGGCTTGGGCAATGATTTCAAATTTAACAAATATACCCACATGTAATTTAGATACAATGAAAATGATAAAGTTTGCCACTCAAGTTTATGAAGCTATTTAAAGGGAATGTTGAGAGCTCCGGTCACGAATGGATCTCTGAGGGTTGAAGAGGCTGCTCTGACGTATCTTAGGGCTGAAGCCTTCAGGAGGAGAGTTTTCCACATTTACACCTGCAGGAAGATTTGGAAGGTTCTGGGGCTCCTTGGAAGGTGAGGAGGTGGGCGAGGTATAATTTGAAGCTGTTGATAACTGGGCCCGGTGCTGTTCTTGGTCAGAGAGTGAGGCTGCTGCTCCCTCTGCCCTCTGGGGGGTCAGCTCTGGTTGAGCTTCCCCTCACCTCCTTCCTGCTGGTCACCTGGAGCAAAGGGCCATCTTCAAAGCAGCTGAAGCCTCAGTTTCCTTAACTGTTAAGTGAGAAAAACAGTAGCTACTTACAGGGTTGTTGTGAGAATTAAAGAGAAAACGTATGTAAAATGTTTGGCAAAGTACTTGCTAAGTATTAAAGTAAACAATTTCCTTAGTTCTGAGATAACTTTAATTTAAAAGCTCCATCAATTTAATATCAACTTTTTTTTTTTATAATTTTATTTATTTTTTCCCCCAAATTCCCAGTAGATAGTTGTATGTCATAGCTGCACATCCTTCTAGTTGCTGTATGTGGGACGCGGCTTCAGCATGGCCGGAGAAGCGGTGCGTCAGTGCGTGCCCGGGATCCGAACCCAGGCTGCCAGCAGCGGAGTGCGCGCACCTAACCGCTAAGCCACGGGGCCGGCCCTAATATCAACTTTTAAGGAAATAAAAAAAAAAGAACTCTACCATAGTAATGAATATATATTGAATCAGCGCATCAAATGCTCATCAATTTCAAAAAATGTCCACGTGAGAAAAAATAAGTTCTCAGACCTGTGGAAATACAGTCTGATTAGCACCATCTTGCAGCGGGACTTCCCATCATCCTCCACTCTCCTGACACTCAGCCCAGTCAGTGCTCAGTCCCCTGTCCCTGCCCATCACCCATCTGCTGAGGAAGAGCAAAGGGCTTTATCACTCAGGAGCTGGGACCCCTAACTGAACCCAGAGCTCCTGTGCACAGGTGAGGAGACTGAAGTGCAGAAAGGTCAAGAAAGGTGAGGTCAATTCTGAAGACAGGATGAGAGCCACCCAGTATGAGCACAGTCATTTTGGGTTTCTTTCTAGACCCAACACAGAGTGCTCTGAGTTCATGTTATACTTCCCGACTCCCCAACACTGTAATTTGGAGCATTTAAATGCTGTACTTTAGTTTCCCTACCTGGAAGAGACTATGAACTGGAAGGCACATTTAACAAAAAGCTTGGGGGGAGGGGGTGGATTTTGAAACATTTGGACTTTTTTGCTTTTCTTTCTTTAAATTCTTCGCGTCCTTACCAACTGAATGAGCCTGTGCTAGACCCAGGGAGCAGTGTGAGTAGAGGGGAGTGAGAAAGAGACCTAAGACCAGACCCCCATTATTAGGAGCTCACCACGCACATGCAGGGGTCAGTTCACAGAGACGGGTTATGTGGAATTAGGTGCTGAAATGAGAGATGATGGTGACAACTCCTGCTCATTGAGTGACTGCTGAGGACCAGTCACCGTGCAGGTGCTTTATGGGCTTTTAATCACCACCAACTAAACAAGGGGGGTATTATAAGCTATGTTTTTCAGATGAGGAAACTGAGGACAGAGAGGTCAGGTGGTTGCTGAAGCCACACATGAGGACATGGCACAGTTAGGATTTATACTCACTTCTGCTTGACTTCACACTTCTGGTTTGCTTGGTGGCTTCCTGTAGTGGATGATGTTGGATTTCACAGAAGGGGTGATCATTGTAGTTGGTGAAAGGGACCATGTGCAAGAGGTTGAGCTGGATTTTAACATGTTGAAGGAAATCGGGCAAAGAGAGCACTTCTCATTCTTGCTAATGGTTAGACTTACATTTTGTCACATGGATTGAGAATATTTACACTGACAATCACTTTTAGCAAGCCAAAAATCTAGACAGAGGGTATGACCTGGAATTTTAGAACTTCCTCTAAAAACAAGAGGGGATCCAATATTTTGGAATCAGAATTTCTGGGTCCTAGGGAATGTTTAAGGCCTAGAGTATTTAAAATTGGGAGTGTTCTGAAAACCAAGGACCTGTGGGCTGTGTGACAAGTGGGTGGGACAGAAACCAGGGCCACTGTTAAGATGTCTCAGATAAAGAATTGTTTTTGACGTGTGGCCTAGCCAACCCCATAACCTCTGTGCCCTAGTTTTCTAATTTTTAAAGTTGAGTGGATAAAATGAACTTTAAAGTACCTTTCAAATCTAAAATTTTGTTTCCATAAAACTATGGTGCTCTATTCAGTATTACAAACTACCTAGTATTACATGAAAATAAAAAATAAAAAAGAAAGAAAGAAAGAAAAATGTTTATTACTCTTCAGTCTGGAATTCTGAAGTGAACAATGAGATCTCTTCTACTCATTTTTGGCCTGCAGTGGTAATGAGGTTAAAGAGTCCTTTAAAGAAACAAACTATCTGTTTGTTGGTGCGTGCGCATAAGTAGATATTTCTGTTCATCTATCGAGATCAGCCTCTGCAGATGAACTCTGCTGCCTTAGAGGACAGGTTTCCCTTTGCAAAGTGAGTTGAACCCTTACTCAGACTTTAAGGAAACTGGAATAATGCTAAGGCCCCTGAGGAGGCAGGAAACACACTGGTCTTTGAGAGGGAGCCGGACAGATGATCAGTGTTCTTTATCTCCAAATTTTTATGACACTAAACTCAAAAAGTTTGAAAAGGTCCTTTTTTATTTTGTTTCACACAACCTGGGATCACACCTCCCTATACTCTCTTAGAATTGTCCAACAATTATGAGGTAGCCTCTGATAAACTTAAACTAAAGAGTTTATTTGGGGTTTTTTAGGCCTGCAGACTGGGAAAGCCCTAATTCAAGTAGCACTTGAATTGTGTCCAGGCATTGAAGGGAGAGGGCGAAGGGAGAAGGGAGAAGGTGTCGAATAGTTGCCACTAAAACTGGTGAAAAAAAAAGAGGGAAGGAATGTCTTTTGATAAATTCCAGGGGCAAGATAATCATCAGGGTGAGGAGTGGTAGAAACAAGCCATGAAATTTAGGAAAGTGGGGGATGACTCTGACAGGAATGGGGTCACTGTCCCGATGATCTTATCTCTCTGACTGGAGCGGGGTCTTTGTCGCGATGATCTTACCTCCCTGACAAGATTAGGGTCTATGTCTCAGTGATCTCACCTCCCTGACAGGAACAAGGTCATTGTCCCGATGATCTTATTTTCCTGACAGGAATGGGTCTCTGTCCTGATGATCTCACCTTCTTGACAAGAGTGGGGGTCTCCATCCCAGTACTCTTATCTTCCTCGAGAAGACTTGCTGACACATCTCAGGCATTTAGTGATTTCAAGGGTTCGTCTTGAACGAGGAGTTTGTTCCTCTCCTCCTCATGTCCGCTTGGCTCCATTTTAGTGCCTTAACATGGGAGACTCCACCTTTTTCCAATTCGACAATACATTTCCTTCTATGTCTTTCTTCTCCCAAATTAATTTAGAAAGCCTCTTCTAAGTCACATTCTTTGTCTAATTATACTCACCTACTCCAATGACGTCTCGTGAAGTTGTAAGCCAGCTGAATCTTTTTAAAATCATAAAAAAGAAGTTAAAAAAACAATAATAACCCACGAGGTTAAAACTGTGTCACTGATGCAGTCAGGGAAAATTCAGTGGCATTAAGTATATTCACAATGTTGTGCAAGGGTCACCACTATCCATTTCCAGAACTTTTCAAACAGAAACTCTGTACCCATTAAACAATAACTTCTCCTTTCTCCCTCCCCACAAGCCCGTGGCAACCTCCGTTATACTTTCTGTCTCTAAGAATTCGACTAGGTACCTCATATAAGTGGAATCATACAGTATTTGTGTTTTATGACTGGCTTATTTCACTTAACATAATGCTTTCAAGGTTTATCCATGTTGTAGCATGTGTCAGAATTTCATTTTTTTGAAGGCTGAATAATACTGCATTGTATATATGTACCACATTTGGTTTATCATTTTCTTTTCCTAACTCATAATATAATGTCTAATATAATATAATCTCCTAGCTGTGTAAGAAAAACTTCATGGACCTGGTTGAAGAAGGTATCCATGGTCAGATATGTTTGGAAATTACTTAAGATTGTGCCCCCCCTTAGAGTTTTGCAATTAACAATCACTTATAGGGCTGGCCCCGTGGCTTAGCGGTTAGGTGCTCACACTCTGCTACTGGCCGCTGGGGTTGGGATCCCGGGCACACACCGACGCACCGCTTGTCTGGCCATGCTGAGGCGGCGTCCCACATACAGCAACTAGAAGGATGTGCAACTATGTCATACAACTATCTACTGGGGCTTTGGGGAAAAAAAAAAACGAGGAGGATTGGCAATAGATATTAGCTCAGAGCCAGTCTTCCTCAGCAAAAAGAGGAGGATTAGCATGGATGTTAGCTCAGGGCTGATCTTCCTCACAAACAAAACAAAACAAAAAAACTCAATCACTTATAAAAGACTCTTAGAAGTTCTGCAAAAAGGGAACCTGTTTAATTTTGCTTAACTCAGAGTTTCCCAAACATATCTGATCTTGCAATCCTTTTATTTCTGGTAGTGTGCATTAACGTCCCTCAATGATTAGTGTCCACGCAAGGCACAGGGGAGGCTCAGCTCTAGAAGGAAGGATATAGTACCCGATTCTGCCCCCCACTGACAATGTGATCTCAGGATGAACACTAACCTCTCTACACCTCATGTTCCTCATATGTCAGATGAGGGTGCACAATAGCACCCACTTCATGGGGGATGTTTTAAAGCAATATTATATGACTCTAGTGACTAAAACTAATAATATTACAGTCTGGGATCTGGCTGTCTGGGTTCAAATTTTGTCCTTTGACTTACTAGCTACATGACCTTCGGTACCTTACTTAACTTCCGTACCTGAGTTCTTCATCTGTATGATGTGGACAAAAATTGTACCATTCTCACAGAGTTGTTGGAAGAATTCAGTCCAACTCATGTAACACATTTGGAATTGTGCTTGGTCCATGATGAGTACCTAATATGTTTTAGCCCTTATTATTGTCATCATTGGTGCTCTTCTTACTTCTATGACTATATCATGAGAAAGGAGTTCTTTTAGTTTCTTTTTTTAATTGGGATATAACTGACATACAATGTCATGTTAATTTCAAGTGTACAACATTAATGATACAGTTTTTGTATACATTGTGAAATGATCACCACAGTGAGTCTAGTTAACATCCATCACCCCACATAGTTACAATTTTTTTCTTGTGATGAGAACTTTTAAGATCTACTCTCTTAGCAATTTTCAAATATACAATACACTATTATTAACTATAGTCACCATGCTGTACACTACATCAGATTATTTTAGTTTCTAAAAGCTACTCCTCTCACCTCAAAAAAAAACTTAAATCCAGCAAGTTATTAAAATACCACCCCCTCCTGCAAATATTTGATATTGCTCTGTTGATTTTGATCTTTTCTTCATCTAGAGTTTGTGATCCTTGTCTTCCCTCATTTAACTTCTCTTTGCGAACAGGGGTGGAGAGGCCTCGGCCCTGGTTTTGTCTGGGCTTCGGGAAATGGTGGAAGGAGCAAAGACCACCGCTCCTGTGATGGCTACACTAACAGCATCTACACCATCTCCATCCCCAGCACAGCCCAAAGCCAAAAGAAGCCTTGGTACCTGGAAGAGTGTGCGCCCACACTAGCCACAACCTACAGCAGAGGAGAGTCCTATGATAGGAAAATAGTACGTGACATTTGCATGTCTGTCATGATTTATGTATCTTTCACTTTGAAATACAAAGGGAGAAGTATAAATTTATATGCACAAGTAATACATGGAAATAGAAAGTCAAATTAGCTGATTACTCAACACAAGTATTTGTAAATGTTACCATTCTGTTACCAATTCATTGAAAAAGCCTGTCCGGGTCATTACTTTCCAGCATTTAATGTGGCCTTAGACATGATTAGCTTCAGTTTTGTTGAGGACAAATGAATGGTCCACGTCCACCTGGTGAGTTTGTGGCAGAGAAGAGGCTAGAATCTGGGTCTGACTCTCAGCCCAGTTCCCTTGTGTCCCCATCTGCCTTCGAACCTTAGCTTCAGTGCTTTGGTTTCAAAGTTGGTGCAACTAATTCAGTGTGAACTAACCCCAGACAAAAGGTGCTTTTCTAATCCTGCAGCACAGAGTTTGCCTGAACGAGGAGCACAGAAGTCCTCCGTGATCTCCTGCTTACCACAAGCCCTGCTGTCCATGCAGACAGCGAAATGATTCAGAGCTCAGGTTGCAGGACCAGCCTGCATGGGTTTTGTTTGCTGCTGAACTATTTACTAGCTGGGTAACTTTGGACACAGTACTTAATTTTTCTATATCAACATCCTTACCTATAAAATGGGGACACTTAATATCACATAGCTCATGGAGTTATTACAAAGATTGTGAGGAAGTAAACAGTAAGTGCTTTCCACACTACTTGACCCACTGGTGCTCAAGAAAGGTCTGACTTTGGGCTGCCCAGCACTGTGCTGCTGATCCTAAATTTCATTCACCTTTGCACCGTCCTCTTTTCCTGATCATGGTTTTGTAAACTGTCCTGGAATTTGTCTTTCTAAAGTGGAGCCAAGCTGCTGTACCTGACACTTTTTAGCATTTAGCCATGACCCTGCTTTCAGATCATGTAGATTCATGCAGGTTTGTGTCACTGCTGATGCTCACATGACTTTTCCACTGTGGTGGAAACACAGGTGATAGGACATTACCTCCTTTGTATAATTCTTTGTCCACATCTGTTCATTCCTGGTTATTACATGGTTTTTATGTTTGATTTCTCAACTATTTTTACTACCTTCTTTAGTTACGTTTTGCAGATTGATTTAAATAAAAATTGCCTACCATACATGTATCCCATCTGCACCCATCTTTCTCTAATTCCTCCACAATAACTGGGTTCAAAAATATGTGCATGAGCCCATCATGAGGTACCTCCATCATCCATCAGTGAACATACTCCAGAATACAAGGTTAGATGGAAAAGGAGAAAATGCAGAGATGACAAGTTTTGAAGTTTCACTACTGTCTTAATGGGAAAGTGATGCTCCCTGATATTTTACCTTTATTGTGGAAATGTTATCATCTAGGAATGTCCTTTTTGCTTTCAAATATGAAGATCTTGTCTCTGAGAACTCACAGTCAACGTCCACCAGGAGTGAGTGGCATTGGTCAGTTCTGCGTCATGAAAATCCTGATGAAAACTCTCTTGAATAAGTGTTCTCTTCTTGTACCTCTCAAGTCTGAAGCTCATCTCAAGGCAAACTCGCCATTGCTTCAAAGTCAATATGTCCATCTAGTCCTCTTGTTTCCTGTGGGGTGATTACTAGTGGGGGAGGTATTGTTGAGATCCATAAATGACTGCTCTAAGAGAAGCTTATAATCCAACGGGCAAAATATCAGAGAAGAAGGAAGGTTGCCTGGATCCCAGATGGGAGATCACAGTGTGGACAGAGGGACCTCACAGTCACCACAGTGAGATTTACTCCCTAGACATGACCTCCTGTGCCCTTTGTGACTATTTCCTATAATTATGTCATTGCTGCTCCAACTCCTGTGACAGGGTGGTCATTGAGGAGTCTCCCTGGGACAGACAGATTGATCCATTTGGTGGTCAGGGATAGGGCTTGAGAGGGAAAGTGCACTCCACGACTTCATGTTAATACCCTTTAGTCAGGTCGTATATTTTACTTTTCCCCAGTTGCTGCCTGTGATATCAAAACTTTTACTGCTTCACTTTATATATTTAACTTCTACTTGTTTCTACCTTTTGTTTAATCTCTTTCTTCCATTTTCATAGCAGCAAATTATTAGTAATTTTTCTGCATCCAGTTCTTAGAGTCTCTTATTTTCCCTGAATCTCTATATGACCATCAATTGGAGATCTAATTTGGTAGCTCTTTCAAGTTACAGTCTCTAGCTTCAGGCAGACCACTCAGTGGCTCCACTATAAACAGCAGTGGTGAGCTCTCAAGACTCCTCACTGTGCAGGGACTGGCACCACCCCTTTTCCACAGAACCCCCCAGCTCTGCCCTCCCCACTGTCCTGGGTAATCCAGGGAACTAGTACTGGTTTCGAGCGTTGATCTTAAGAAACTCCATTAAGACCAATATCCTGGAGGCAGGCAATTTGAGATCTCAAATGTAGCTCCAAAGAGAAAAATTACTGTGATTTCATAGATGATTCCTTCTTTGTGTCTTCTTCACTCTCAATTCAACTGTTTAAACCTGTTTCCATTAGAGAGCAAAGGAGAGAAGAGAGGGGGGAAGACAAAGGGGGAGGGGAGGAGAGGATGAAATAGAAGGAAAAGTAGAGGAGGGGAGGGAAGGAAGAGGTCATCTATTTGAAGTTTCACATCAGGGTTCCTGTCTTAGTCTATGCAGGCTACTATATAACAAAATGCCACAGGCTGGGTGACTTTTAGATGACAGAAATTTATTTCTCACAGTTCTGGAGGTTGGAAGTCCAAGATCAGGGTACCAGCATGGTCGAGTTCTGGTGAGAGCCCTCTTCTGGGTTGCAGACTGCCAACTTCTCATTGTATCCCCACACGGTGAAAAGAGAGTGAGAGAGCTCCTGGGGTCCTTTTATAAGGTCACTAATCCTATTCATGGGGCTCCACCCTCATGGCCTAATCACCCCTAAAGTCTCGCCTCCTAATACCATCACATTGGGGGTTAGGACTTCAACATATGAATCTGGGGAGGACACACAGGTTCAGTTCCCATCCAGTGTGGGCATCTTGTGCTCACCTACACCTCCAACTAGAAGAGTAAACATTTTCAATTCACCTGGACACTCCAGATTTGAAGATGCCAATACCACTTTAAATCCATACCTATCCTCCCCCAATTTTAACACCTATACTTCAAAATTAAACGTGCACATGAATTACATGTAACCTCCATAGTAATCAGGAAAAGGAAGGTTACTATCTCACTGTGCCCTAATAAAGGTTGAAACAAATTCCTCTAACTCAGGAGTTGGCAAACTACAGGCCTGTGAGCCAAATCCTTCCTGCTGCCTCAGTAAATGAAAGTTTGAAACGTAGTCCTTCTCCCTTATTTACGTATCATCTATGGTCGATTTTTCATTTTGGCAAAACCTAAGGAATTTACTGTCTGGCCTTTTACAAAATGATCCGTCAACCCTGTTTTAGCTCAAAGAGAAAGCCTAAGGCCTCTAGAACAGGGCCACTCAAAATGTAGTCTGTGTCCCCTCCTGGCCTGTGACCTGTCTGACACTGAAACTGAGTGTTGAGAATCTCCTATAGCACTTGGACATCGCCAAGACATCCAAGTGTGTGACTGTTTTTCTCGTACTTGATTTTTATTGTATTTTTTAAAGTATTAGTTCATCAAGGATTAGAAATAACAAAAAATTCTAGAAGTCACGATTTTCTATTAGAAAAATACAAGAGATAATTTAATACCCATTGTAATGACTTTAACCAGGCCTCAATAGATAACAAAATTCAGCCCTAGAGGTTTCATCGATAGCACCTATTTTGTCTTGGAGAACAAAAAGGAGGTGAGGGAGGCAGAGCCAGGTTTAAAAGTTACTTGTCCCACAAGCTAGGGTCCCAGTGAAGCTTTCTCTAATTCTGTTGCTGCATTAACGCCCCAATATCAGAGATACATTTATTTCTAATTAATGTACAATTGCACACAGATCACTTTCTATACATAGGTGTTAGGGGAATTAAAATATGGTCCAAGCCCTCTAGAAGCATTTACTCTAGGTCAAAGAGCTAAGGTGATTATAAAAATATGAGACACTGGAGTTTGTGGGAGGCTGCTGTGAAGTTGGTATGTGAACTCATGTATTCATGAGGGCCACACAAATATATCCATCTCCTTTCTGTTAAATGCCTTTCAACCTAATTGAATAACGCAATCCATCGAGACCTTTGAGGGAAAGTGACTGTGTAGGAAAGTGATCAGGAAAGCCATGCTGAGATGCAAATGCTGGACAGCTCACTCCCTTTACAAGTGGCTGAGTCCACACGCCAGCGTGTCAACCTGTAGTAGGCAGGGGGAGATTTTTAGACTTAAATGCTTATGTGGGAAATAATGGCTGAAGATCAATGAGCAATTATTAAAGAATAGCAAACTAAGTAAGAGGAAAGAGGTATCATATGTAGAGTTATCCAAAAAGTTGGGAAACAATCAACTTAACATTATGTTAGTTTTATTTTCAAGAAATACATTCAATGCCTTTTCAGATAAAGTATCTCAAAATTAAAGCAATGGGTCCAATTGTTAATCTTAAAAAAGTACAATAAATATACTATTTCCCCTGCATTTCCAAGCTTTTTAGATCCTCTATAGGTAAACTGTCTAATACAGTAGTCACCAGGCACATGTGGCTATTTAAAGTAATTATTGGAGAATGAAGAAATGGAACATTATCCTCATAGCAGAAAATTCTATAGGACAGCACTGCTTTCTAGTGTGTGTATTTTTTTTTCAGATTACTAATTGGACTCATTGATATAGAGGTACTTCACCTGAAAAGGTGTTTGGAAAATAAATAAAAACATACTGAGATGTAATTTGAAAATATAATAAACTGTTTAAAAGTAAGTTTGTCCTAGGTTTCCAACTTTTTGAACACACTCTAAATACATAATTAACTTTTTAAAGGCTGATTTTTATTTTCATCAAGTTATACCTGCGTATAGTTTAAAGAATCAAATTATTCAACAAGACATAGAAAGAAAAAGAAATATTAACTTGTTTGCCCCCATCACACCTCATTTCCCATTTCTTAGGAGCAATTTCCATCCTTTCTGTGATTTAACATTTATCTCTCTGTCTCTAAGGGAGACGCTCACACTGCTGCTTCTTATGTTCTCAGGTTGGGCGTCTACCTACTCGTTTCCCACTAACGGAAGATGAACATTTCTTTTCCAAACTCTTCCTTTCTATTGCTGCCTCTTCCCATCTCCTCATCCTTCCCCAAAATATATTTATTTTGTTTTATAAAAATTCAGTGCTATAATTCTTATGACTGTATAAATGATATTCACAGCTGAGCTATACAGAACATTATTTGTCTTATTTGTCTGAGCACAAGTACAAAGCTGGATGAATTTTCACAAAGTGAGCACACTGTGCAACCATCACCCAGCTCTAGAAACAGGAGAGAGAGATGAAAACACCCAACAGCCTTCAAGATCCTCCCAAGTCACCCCGTCCTCAAGAACCACTCGGACCTTTTTTTGCTACAGTTTTGCCTGTTCTTAAAATCTATATAGAATCATACAATATGCACTCTTTTTTGTCTGGTTTCTTTTGCTGTTCTTTTTCTAGCCTGAGATCAGAGTTTAGATTATTGATCTTTCTTATCCATGTATTCTAAGCTATAAATCTTTTGAGGAAAGCATTAGATGCACCCCATAAAGTTTTGCTGTTGCATATTATCATTCATTTCAACATAGCTTTCCATTGTGTTACTTTTGTATTTTTATAACATTGATTTTTCTCTCCTGTGTTGTGATCAATGTGTTCTTTATACCAATCCTTGGAAATTTGTTGAGATGTTTTCCATATCTGGGACAACAGCTGCAGTGGAGGTCATCACCTGATTAGTTAATGATAATACAGTCATTCTCCAAGATCCGTCAAATATCTGTCTAGTATGAACAGATATGATAGGAGCCTTTACCCTGAATCTTTTGATGATGGCTCTCTGCAGTTTCCTGAGATGTAACATTGATTTGCTTTACTGTTCTGGCTTCTACTTGGCCCTTGTTACAGTCAGGGAACCAAAGTAGGGGTTCTGTCAGTTGTTAAGTACGTTGATTCTAAATACAGACTCAGGAACACGGGAAATAAGCACAAGGACTAACTGAGCTGCCTGGGACACAAGCTGGGGCTCAAACTCCACGTGTGACCTGACCCAAAAGGAAGCCAACTGTCAAAAAAATGTCGAGTCACAGCCACGTCAGAGTATGGAAGGTAAATTTGGAACAATAGACAATAGGTACATGACAACACAGTCATAGCCTCGTCAGATCTCACAGTTCACCATCTGTGTCTGATCTGTACTTAACCTGTCCACTGAGATTTTAATTTCAATTATTTTTTCATCACTATAAATTCTATTTTGACAATTATTAATCTGCCCTATTTTTGTAGAACCTTGTTGTTTGACCATTTTTGACATTCTTTTATTTCTGTCCACATATTAAACAGTCATTTCAAATTCTGTATCTGACAGTTCCTACATCTGTCATCTCTACAGAGCTTATTGTGTAATGTGTTTCTGCTAACTCTTGCTTACGATGGCATCTCTTTTTATAGGGGGGATTTACTTCCTATCTCCGTCTCTGAAGCTCAGATTGGTTCTCCTCTATCAGCCTCATGTCCACTTTCCAGGTAAGAGGGGAACAGGAACAGGCTAGCACTCTCACCAGGAAAGCAAAACTGTCCTCACAAATCCCAAGCAGACTTCTGTTTCCCTCTGCCCGGTCAGAACCGTGTTACGCGCCGGCCCTGACTGCAGGCTTTAGCCCTCCAGAGCTGGGAGCGCTGGAGACGAGTGTGCAAGAGCAGCTGTGTGTCCTGCTTACAGAGAGACAGGCAGGAGTGCCGGGTCACTGCTGTGGGGTTGGTGGCGCGAGTCAGGAAGGCTACAGAGCCCTGTTGGGGAGCAGGAGTCACGGGAGGGGACTCAGACCCACTTAGACTCCTCTGGCCCTGACAGCTCCACACTGTAATGGGGACCCTCGCCCTCAGAAAGTGGTCTGAGAGTCCTGACGCCCTGTGAACACTCCAAACAAACCCGACACTGTGCCGCAGGCATAAGAAACAGGGGCCCTTCAGGCAAGGCCTTTGGCTGTAGAACCACCACCAAACGCCAGGTTCTCCCTACAGCTGCCGCCTGTGACCTGCTAGTCAGGCCTCTAAAGCACCTGAAAGGAAGCATCAGCCACAAATTAGGATCTTATACAGACAAGGCAAAGATTCAGGCTGACACAGGGAGAGAGGAAACATCACCCAGTCGAGATTGATTTCAAGGCCTGAAAACATTCAAACTAATCAAAAAGGGTACTACTGCAATTTCTTATAATACATACATACTTAATATAAAATCTAAAAAACATAGACGCTGTTAACTAACTCCTAAACCACATACTATATGATTTTCAAAAGCGATGGCTATTTAATAAAATGTAAGGTGGCAATATCACATAACTTTCACACACTTATTGAGGACATAAATTAGCAGCAAGCTATTCAAACAAACACAAATCTGTTTTTACACTTTCCATGTTTGTTTTTTAACTTTGCTTCATAAAACCACTGATAATTGAGGCTTCTTTCAAGTATAGGATTTATAACATTAAACTACATTTCTTAAGTATTTTTATAAAGAAGAAATGAAAAAGACACATACTACATTGTTTGCCATAAATTCACAAACCAAAAAGTAAAACACAATCCAACTGAATTTATCCATGCTTCCCCCCTCTCCAACGTGAGCTTTAGATGTTTTCTAAATACTTTACAAATATTTCTGTTAAAATCAGTTCTCTAATTCATTTATGCAGATTAGGGGAAAATGATTTATAATGAATTATCTTTAAAATTACCTCCTGTATATTTCTGTCCCCTATCCCCCCCAAATCTGGTGCTAAAGTAAACAGTAATGCAATGTACTGTTTCAGGGGCCAAAACAATCTGTGATCTTAATTTCCTAAATATTCAAAGATTTTAACTTTCTGCCAATACAAACAAAAGTCTCAAGTGGCCACAAATCACTTCTTAGTAGTTAGTAGGAGGAAAAAATGCAGAGTATAAAGATTATTTAACTAAAACTTTATTATTTATGCCTTTTCCCCACACTGCAAGCACTCTTTAGCATTAAAACATTGCGCGTACACAACTACCACAGTTTACATTTGTTCAGGAACATATGATCACATTGAAAATAAATAACTTTCTATTTCATAGTTTAATTGGTTCTTAAATAGTTTCCCTAGGGGGAAAACAAGTATTCTGTATTCTTTAAGAAACTAGCATACATAAATGAACTGCTATGTGTTCATTTAAACTTTGAGGAAACCTAAAGATAAACTTTTGGCTGTTTTTTTTCTAAAATGCAATAGAGATATGCACCTAATCACTGTTCACATAGTGAAGAGATGGGATGGTAGATAAGCTGCATCTTTTGTAAGAATACAGTTGCAGAATATTCTAAATTGGAAAAAAAAAAAACTGACACTGACAACTGTTTAAAGGAAAAAAAAAACCAAAGTCAAGAAAAATGTTGAAGAAGAAAGTCTTAAATAGAAGAGAGAAGTGTTATACAACACAAAGACAAGACGTAGAGATTCGAAAAACACTCATTTTACTGCTTTAAAAGACAGACAAAAAATGATAGGCAGAAGAAGCCAGCCCTGATGGCCTAGCAGTTAAGGTTCAGCGTGCTCTGCTTTGGCAGCCCAGGTTTGGTTCCTGGGCACAGAACCAAATCACTCATCTGTCAGTAGCCATGCTGTGGTGGCGGCTCACACAGAAAAAACAGAAGAACTTACAATTATACACAAATATGTACTGGGGCTTTGTCAGGGAGGTTGAGGGGGCAGGAAGAAAAATGGAGGAAGATTGGCAACAGATGTTAGCTTAGGGCTAATCTTCCCTGCAAAAAAAAAAGAAAAAAAGATAGGCAGAGGGATTCCAGACCGATTAGAACTGAGGCAGCTGTAACAAAAATGGAACACAGTACAGTGATTTGACCTCATTCAGGAAATGACTGATTAAAATGAAATTTCACAAGTCTTCATGTCTATAATAACATATTAATGTACAAAATACCAAAAATACGAATTCTGGATTTTCCCCTGAGGTTTATCATAAACTATGAAACTTCTGTTTGATGCAGTGACTTTTACAACCTTCTCTGTTGAGCAGCACACGCTGTACAGGTACAGATGCGCTAGGATTTTACTGTGAGAATTACCGTTCGCATCTCAAACTACTGAGTTGCCTTTTTACCCATACTTATGTACATTTCATTTCCATTATAAGACACTTAAGACCCTTCTAGTGGTACATTTGAATCAATGTATCACATAAAAAAGAATCTTTACTTTTAAAATGAATTTTTTTTAGCCCTGTCGCACGATGGGTTTAATTGAACAGTTGAAGCTTAATATAACTACACTGTAGTTATATTAAGTACAGTAACTACGTTGTACTGTCTAAACTAATTCACAGCTCTAGGAAAATGTTTAAGTTTTAAAATAGAACAAAGATGAGACTGCACACTTATGAGCAGTAAAATACTAGAAAACAGTGAATGAATAAAAAAGATGATTTTTCATCAGTGGCCATTCATTACTTTGCTTTTAGGAACCTTGAAATTGTCTTCTTTGAGTTTCAAATGTTCTGTAAATCCAGTCGTTTCTTAGCTTCCTCAATATCACCTTGCATCGCTGAGATAAGTGACTGCAGAGAGAACACACCAGGCGAAGATGATCAGAACCCGCTGCTGGACTCCCTGCTGCTCCTGTGCACAGCCTCCTGCAAACCCCGAGGGCGGTAGCGTCTTTAGCATGGGGCAGATGCCTGTAAATGTTCCATCCCTTTTCCAGACTCAAGTAGAAGTCAACGGTACACACAAGATGGCCCTGATCTTCTTGCAATTTCTTAGAGAAAGGCAAAAGCAAAAAGATACATTGCAAGTACCAAATGGAAGAAACAAATATTCACTACCAATTCCCTTCAGTATTTACACTTGTGAAAGAAACTCTACAATAGAATTAAAACTGTCACATACACTAAGATACTTGATACCATTTGTTTCAAATGTTCTGATTTACTGTTTCTTACACTTCAAAGCATTGCAAAGCATCCATTATTCATCACAGTGTTAATTCTTACTTGTTCCTTAAAATATGAAAAGGAAATAAAGATGGCATTAACTTCACACTGTTGGAGAGAGGCAGCCAGCCTGCTGGGTTTGAATCTAGGCTCCATCACTTACTCTGTGGCCCTGGGCAAATTACTTAACCTCTCTGTGCCGACTTCCTCATCTGCGAAATGGGCAACATAATTCCTCATATGGTTGTTGTGAGGATGAAATGAGTGAATTCACGTAAGTCACTTAAAACAGTGCGTGGCACATATTAAATACTCAAATATTATCTGTCCTGCCATGGTTATTACCAGTAGAAGCAGTAGGAGTAGCTACAGTAATATTTAAGAAGATCTAAATAAAAACTTAGCTAAAGAATCAAAGTTCTTTTCTGGTCTGAGGTGGCCAACGATGGCCCATTGTGATTTCCCCACAGAAGTCCTCTTTGAAGGTATGCAAGATATGAGTTTCCTACAGTACAGAAATGTTAAAAAGATTACCATCAGATTACAGAGCACCTGAAATTTAAAATATATCTTCATGTTTACGCATGGAGTAATTTAAATGAAACAATCGACCCTCATTGAATTTTTAAAGACAGTTTAAAATCTAAGTGCAGTTTTTCCTGAATTCTTCCATTGTTCCTGTTCCTGCCCCTGACTTTACATGTAAACATTATAACAGAGTAAGGATGATATTATACCACAAATCTGGTATGATTTGCTGTTTATAGAAAAACTAACATGCACCAAAGTAATTAAGAGTCTTATCAAGGCAAAAAAACTGAGCAAAGACACCAAAGAGGGAATGAGCAAAGTATTAAGAGATGTTACTACTGAAAGAACTAGTTCTGAGGTGAATCAGGATCCATGTGTCTCTCACACACCACGTTACAGCACCTTTGAGGGGCAGGCAGAGCTGAAGACTGATGTGGGGGCAGAGGAGTCAATGTAGGTTCCTGACCAAGGAACCATGTGACAAATGGGTACAGGACGTGTTGAAGCAAAATGCTGCAGGAGGCAGAAGATGCTCTGGACTCTGAATGTTAGTACACTCCTATAAAG